GTTTGTGTTGAAGAGAGAAAGAAGAGATAAATGTAAGGGTAAAAATATCATTTTAGGTCTCTATGAACAGTGTTTTGTGGCATTTTATGAAAAAAAAATATCATTGTGGCATTTTAGATAAATTTTGGATAACTTATGGCATTTTTGAAAATTTCCCCTTTTTATTATGTATTTTACCTTTATGATTGCTTCTAACTTGTGCTTTTTTGTTTGTGAATTTAAAATTGGAGCAGATTTAAAATTTTGGTTAGAATAATTCGTTGTGGTCATATCAAGAAATCAAGATTAAAATGACGAAATGAATATCTGATTCTAAAAAAAACAAAAAATATCTAAAGTTGTTAATATTTGTCAATATCCTAATTTAAGTAAATGTAAAAATATTATTTACATTCATTTCTTCTGAATTTCAAGGCGTCTTTTGCAACTCCATTCTCCTCAATAGCCATTTTTTTTCAAAAAAAACTGCTTTGTGTGATTCCATTTTTATATATTTTCAAGAACGCTATCCGCAACTCTATTATTCTCAATAACCATCTTTCTCGAAAGAACGCTTCCCACGATTTTTTTTGTCACATTTTCAAAAGCGCCTTCTACAACTCCAGCCTTCTCAAAACTCATAACTTCAAACCAATAAACATCGAAGACGATTGCTTTTCACGACTCAAACATCCTTCCAAAATAACTTTAACCTAATATAAACATAATAAATAACAACAAGTAAACTATATACAAAACCCAATATATGACATGGATCTTCTAATTAATATTACTCTTAATTAGTAAATCACTAAATTTGTGGACTAGTTGTCCAAAATAAAAATATCGTTCGTGTGTTATACAATCTTATAAGCAGAGAGACTTGCAAAAGTATTCGATTTAGTTCATGGAAATATTTGAGTGCTTTAAAATATTTCTTTCCATCTTAACACAGTCCGGAGTGTCATACGAACGGAATAAATTGTTTGAATTTTAAACATAATATACAGGGGATGGTGCTCAGCTTGCTCTTTACAAAATACTCTACTATACACACATTTGACAATTCCTTGTTAGGCCTATCTTCACAAATTGTAAAACACAAACAAACCTGTTAGTGATCATTAAAAAATCGACGGTTTTATGTCTTCTCCATATTCGGAAACAACATTTAACCTGGCAAATCAAATGAGGTAGAATCAGATTAGATGTAAGAGATTCAACAAAAGCAACAACACTTTTGCCCTGAGATCTTACATTCTAATTTTTGTTCTTCCTCCTATGTGTTTATGTGTCCTTGAGTCCCCTGACCATCGACGGGTATCTAGTACTAGTCTTCTAGATGCTGCTGCTTTAGATTCTAAACTACGAAGCTTTTTTTAAATGAAGCTTTTAATATCTCGTCTGGTACTGTCCATGAAACCAAATGTCCAGCTGAATCCCCGNTCAGTAANTGCTTCAAATCCGTCGTGAGATGCAGAGCTGTGACAGGTTGCTTGTGGAATTTCAATTCCTTGTGTAAAAGCAACTTGTATTCTGGCACTTGATCAATCAAATTTATTAGCCCTCCTGTTCTTTTGCTAGCTGTTTCGATCTCGGAACTAATCGGATCAGTACAATGTACCATCCGCCACACGTTAACAGCCCCGCTTTGATGACCAGTCACATACCAGGTTGTTTCTAGCCAGTCAGAGAACGTTGATCCCGTTACNGATGCTATCAAATCAGATGGTAACTGTGATGTGTTAACCATTGCGATGCTCCAAACCGCGAGTAAAGTTCCAGCAGCAGTTATGATTTCTCCTGAAAGGTCATTTACGTAGATTGCTGAAACGGGAACTGGGAAATCAGGAAGCTGCCTCACAAAACTTAAAGAACTGAGATCCCATAAGACAACTGTACAGTCATCTGAACCGCTTGCGATCATCATGTAAGGTTGGCTTACGCGTAGACAAGTGACTTTGGCTCTGTGAGCACATAGGGCTTTCTCTAACCGTAAACGCCTTGAACCACGCGGACAATCCTTGTTGACTCTCCACACAGAGACTAGACCATCGTCTGCTCCAGTGACTATAATGCGCCCATCGTGACTAACACCAGCACACTGGATCTGATTGCCGTCATGAAGATTTTCATGGGTGGATAAGAGCTTGTCCTGATCATAGCTCATAAATCTCAAGCTCCTGTCTGGGAAACCCCATCTTATGTACTTCCTAAAGCCTCTGGGTTTAAGGAAACAGTTTGAGGCGGCAACAAGCAACTTGTCATGGAAAGTGATGATCTGGTTTATAGATGATGAGCATTTACGTATTTAGCGAGGAGCAAGATGCGCCGAGTGCTTCAGAGGATGCAGAAGGATTTTTCTGTCTGTCCTTCTTTTAACATGAGGTTTCTGGAATAGTTGCTTTGGCGTTTGTCCAAAATGATTAATCTGCGCTAGTATGGAAGCTTTCATCGCGGGATCCGTAACTGCATCTACATCCACATTCCCCTCATAAGTGTAATGATAGAAAACATTTACAGCTTTTTCTGCAGCCTGAAAAATAAACAGCCTCATGATTCAATATTTTAGAAAGCAACATTTCTAAGACATGGTAGTTTGATTTTTCTGTTGCCTAACAAATGGAGAACATGTAATGTACCTTTCCTCTCTGTTTGTACCCAAAGATGAGATCTATCCAATGATGCAGATTCTCTGTGCTTGCGGATGAATTGACGAACACTTCCTCTAGCCCAAGGAGGTAAAAATACATCACCCACCTGAAATTATACAGGGAACTTGCTCATGTCAACCTACATGAGAGGGAAACAGGCAAGTGAGAATAGTACATTCAATCGCCAATAGAACAACTTAACGTACCTTTTCTCCTGACTGTTTTTCACCTAAATCAAAATTAAATCTGTTTTCTAAAAATTCAGGCATGTAGAAGAATTCAGGAATTAGTTCTTTCACATCTGATGCGCTTAGCCAAGTATCTCTAATACTGTTGAAAAGTCGATCAGCGTGATCAAAATGACCACCCTGCAGCTTCTGATTTTCAGCACTGAACGGTGGGANGCGAAGAAGGTAAAACAGAACAATGCCAGCACTTGAATAGTGAGAACCGTAATGAAATTTTGGAACCTCAGGATCATCCCAGCTCTCNTATCTGAAATGAGAAAAGGAAAAGGAAAGCATGTGAAGCGGTTATTGGGTATAACTATAACTTGATAAGGAAAAACATAAGTTTATGATACACATTACGAACCGATTCCTAAATTCTTCTTCTCCTTCAGGTGTCTGACAACCCATTGGTTTGTCAAGCTTGCGAAAATTCTTTGGATCTGACAAATCAAGACTCTCACTATCATAATCTGCTAGGATCCAAGGAAATACTGGATACTGTGTAAGATCATTGTATCCACGTCCTGCTAGCGTGTTGAGATGCATTAGGTATTGGAAATTGCTGCTCTCCCCATTTTGCCATCTTTTCGTGAAAGACTTCGCCATTAATTTGAAAAGACGACTACCCTCTTTACTTTCCTGTTTAGCTGATCCTGAAATGGTTGTGTCAAGCCTGAAAAAAAAAGAAAATAGCACCTTCACAGATTTAGGAAGGGTCTCACGGAGGACTAAGCTATACAGTATACAGTGCTCATGATTAGAGAAGAATGAAACAAAGGGAACATGCTCAGAAAGTAAAGAGTAAAACGAAATCAGATGAAAAGCAACAAGGTTCCATACATGCTGTTCCTTGGAAGATTCATGGCAAGCAGATTTCTGAAGACTTCTTCCTTCTCCTTCTTGTGGAACACAAGGAGATCATTACATCCATCCATGCTAAATATCTCGACAGCAACTGGACGCAGCTCGTAATCACGTTTTAAGATCTCATGAACACTATGCAGTTTCCACATACGCCAAGGATGTGGCAAGTTACCAGTCTTGCGCACTTTTTCCTTCCCCCAAGCGCCACCACCATATGTCCATGCTCTTCCCCCTACAGCTCCGGTTTTCATTGTTGTACTCCATAATGTGCTAGACTTGGACTGAATATCCAAGCTTCCCGTGAAATGCTTTTTCACACCCAAAGCCTGATCAATAATGGATAACTCGTCCTCACACTCCTTCTCACAGATACACCCATGATGGTCAATGTAAAAATGTTCAATCACATACAGGCAGAGTTCCCCTACTAAGAAGATCCCATCATGTTTGTCCAAACCAACAACTCTTTCACAGTTATATCGGAACCTAACTTTTTCAAGATGTTCTAGATAAGGTCTGATCAAAAACTCACCATCATCTTTCAGTTCCTTTTCTGATTCTTCCTCCACACCTCTGGCTTCATCCATTTTACCAGAAGATGACTGTCGTGGAGATCCAGTCTCAGATTTTGAATCTGTGTTGTCGCTTATTGGAACAGATGCTGTACTACTAGACTCACCACCAAGATCAAAACCACTATGAAGACTCGCCTCATTTGTACTACAAGTTGTATCATTATTCCATCCACTTGCAGCAGAAGGAACATCCTTAAGATCATCACCTTCTTCGAAAAAGGACTTGCTGTAAAGTTCACTACTAAGCAAGAAAGGTGGCTCAGAACCCGTATCGTAAATAATTAGGCCATCTTCATTTTTGGGTTTGGGTAGCTCAACTTCTCCAAGTTCCAACTTCCTTTCTAGTAAATTATGAATGCTATCAATTTTCAGTTTACATCGTTCAAGCTTTTTCCGCATCCTGTATGGACCTTCAATAGAACAGAGCTGCCATGCAAGAACTTCAGATCCTTGTGAAATACGCAATGGGAATATACCACGCTCGTGTACAAGCTGTTGAAGATGAGTTTGCCACTCACTCTCGGCATGAAGTATTGAGCCATACTTGTTTTGCCGCACAACCCTAAGCTCAGTAGACATTGCATCACGCACTATTTCAAGTGCATATCTCCGCTCATTTAACTGTTCCCATCTTTTTGAGTCTAATTTCAACATATCTCGTGATTTTCTCCCCATCTCTCTCGTACGGCGACCATCCATGCCTTTCATTCGAACATCAGGAAACTTTTTCGAGCCAGCTATGTACTGTATCCAAATAACTGAAGCACCCTGCTCCAGTACTTTATTTATAATTTGTTGGGAGCTCTCAAGCCACTTAGAGAATTCTGGAAGATTTCCAGTCAACAGTCTATCGAAACCCCCATGTAATGCATCAAATTTTTGTCCTTTGTGTAGTTTTCTGACAAGCAGATCCTCAAAAGCAGATCTTCGGTGAACCAGCAAATATTTGAGAATATCAAGTGCCATGTTTTGCACATTCTTTCTCTGGTCATGGAGTAGAGAGATTAAATTCACACACAGACAGCAATTTAAATCTGTATCAAGATTGCTTGGGCAGAATATGATTTTCCTGTTCGCAACCAACAATTGAAGAACCGTTGAAATATCAATTCCAGATTCCTCAACGCTTGAATTTGAAGATTGCCTCTTGTTAGATTCTACAAGCAGTAGGCCCAGACGTGACAGTAGGTCTTCCTCTCCAATAGTTATCAAGAACTGAGGTAGGAAACAATAAAGTATTGTTCTATTTGTGTTCTTCAGGATTGAGTGCACGTAAGCATCTAGTTGTCTGGTTGCTCTTCCAATGGATAACAGACCTTTCCCTGAAAGAGTGACTTCTTCAACTCTACCATCTTTGTTAGCCAATTGCAGGATTGATAACAAGAACTCAAGGGTTCTAAGGACTCCACTTGGTTGAGGAAAAGCCCCCATATAGACACGATCCACAATCATCCAACAAAATGCATCCAAGTTCGCCGACCATTTTCTTTTATCTAGTTTTTTGTCATCCTCTTCATCATCACGCAAGAGACGCCTTTCAAGATAGTTCATGACTCTGCTAAGGCATAACCCTTGAAACACTAGAACACATTCAGGATCCACATATAAAGGAATCATTTCTAAAATGCTTTCCAAAGCCTGTACTGCTTTGGTCTGCTCAGTCATTAAGTCCGCACATACCTCTGCCATAAAATCTAGCATGGCACTTGCTCCAGCAGAACAAGGCCCACCACCATACCCAGAATCATCAGTTTCGAGGAGAATTTTTTGACTAATTGGAAATAATGCATGGACAGCAGATGAACCTGAGTTTTGATCTGAAGATGCATCAAAGTCACTAACTGAGATATGCGACGGAAGAGGAGTGGCAATTGTAGAAATTTTGGATTCATTATATACAGCCGGAGATAGTGATGGAGTACTGAATGGAGCTTTGAGACTTGATTTTTCAGATAAGAGGGGAGACTCTAACATCGAGAAAGATTCAGAACTCTGAGAATCTATAGGCTGAACTTGACTTGAACTACCTTTAAAATCTCTAAATTCTATTTCACTGGAGGCTGATCCAGGGCCAACATGATCACCATCTTGTTTCTGAACTTGAAATGGTTTTTTTGAATCCTGTGATGGTGTCGTAAGATTGCTCCCCACCTTATCAATAGCCTCATAATCTGAAGGTAAAGGCATGTCTTCAGAACTCACACTGACCAGCTCTTGAGGGAAGCTTCCAGCACTGATGGAGGTTTTTGTGGACTGGCCCTGATCCTGAGGCAAGCTAGAGAAAGCGCCTTGTGCGCTACTCTCATCACCACCACTTGTATTCTGATCTGCTTTGATTGAGAGCTGTTTGGCTATCTTCACAGCATGAGCAGCCCTGCAGCACGACCCAGCTTTTAGTCAAAATTTGTAGAATATCTCGCATGTCACACTAACTACAACACCACGAAAAATCCTGGTCTTATCTAGGACCCTCTGACATGCAGGAATCGATGATAAGTGGAAACAAACACCGTCTTCATTGTATCTATGTCATGACTCTATAAAAGCGATGCAGAAAAACAAATTGAATCCTGAATAACAAAAGCATGTACACATCTATGTATACACGCAATAGGCACGTGATACAAACCTGACACAGGAAAAGTAAAGATCAGCACAATTTTGGAGAAATTCTGGGCCTCTGCAAGCAGCTGAAAATTGAGGGCACATCTTTGCAAGATCAACCATGAAACGGATAACAGATGTCGCAGCAGCAGGAGCTGATGCTTCGCCACCCATCAACCGTGCCGCATATGTTTTATGAATTAAAGCTTCCCCTTGAAGCTCTCCAGTCATATCTGCAGTGCTCTCAACAAGCTCAGCTACAAGGCTAGCGCTCACCTGTGAAAGGTTTCCAGATTGGTGGGCAATCATTGATTGCATGATCAGTCTGTCAAAAGTAGATTTAGCCATCGCAATTACTGAATCCAACAGATCAACAAACTTCAACTCCACACGACTTCCATCATTCGAAACTAGTGCATGAAAGTCTAACATTCGAACCTCTGGTAGTCTTGGATAAACAGGTTTTCCGAATATCAAGCAGAACAAGATATAATATATGTCTGGGGAATCATAAAAGCTTTGAAGTACCCGTAGCAGCCCCTGATATCCTCCACTTGTAAGAAATTTAAGAGAAAAGTTCGGGGAAGAAGTGAGACAAACACCAAGAAGGGTCATGATCCATCTCATACTAGTAGGATGCACAGCTTCATCAAGGAAGTATGTTATTAATTTTGATGAGACTATCTTATACCACTGCTCCAGCAGTTCTTGTGCTTTTATGGTTACCTGGAGATCAATCAGCATTTCTAAAAGTAAATTTCTCACAATAACATGCTTTCCCATTGACTCGCGCATTGATGAGTTTCTTGATTTTATTTCGGGCGGATTAAATGTCATGATGACAAACCTAACCACATCTTCAAGCTCAGAAGTAAGGAACCCATCTTCTAAGATGCATCCAAGAAGAATAACTAATTTTTCTAGGACAAGAACTTCCACATCCCCTCGTTGAAGTGTTACTAACAAATGTTCCACCAGATTAATTTGGCGCAGAATCGTAAGATTGTGACTCTTGTACCAAAGCATTGAGACGAGATTCTCCAGAAAACCAAGTAAAGTAATCTGGATCGAAACAGGGGCCATCACCCAGAGGGTCCAGTCCAGGAAGACATGTTCCACCATATCTGCATTGGATAAGACAATGCAGTTTGTAGTTTCAACAGGAATATCTCCCGTTTCCAGCTCAGATATATGACTGAAAGAATCTTTGGGCCCCGAAATATCATCCATATCTCCAGGAAATCCAACTGAAGAAGTTTCATATAGAAACTTTGACAGATTAAGATCCTCATAGTTGTTTTCAGGTATAGTCTCCGAAGGTGACATGCTAATAGTACTTCGTCCACTCTCCAACCTCTTGGGCTCTGAAAAGAAAGCTTTGCATGCAGAAATTTGGAAAAATATCTCCAAACATTGCATGTCAAATAGCGCCATCTTGGGACGTAAAAACAGAGCTAGTAAATGATAGCCCCTGTATGTTTCCATATCCTTCACATTCTGAGGATTCTGATGAAGCGCACAGGCAAGCAATGAAAGAGCCATACGTAGCATATCTCTAGATTCAGCAGATTCAACAAGTGCAAGTACAACAGCCATTCCTCCCACAGGGCGGATAGTTTCCCCAATCACATTTTGTCTGCATATACTCACATTCCCTACCAGGCGACCGAAACACGGTATTCCTAAATAATTCAGAAACGTAGAATGATGCAAAAATTTAACTAAACGGAAAAAAGGGTAAAAAATGAACTAAATTGTATGGGATTGTCGTATACCTCCAAGAGGAGAAGCAGCAGCAGACAATGGGTCAACCAGATTGAGGAGGGAAAAACTTCCAGTCGCGCGTATGAACTCTGAGCATGTTCCATCAAATGCAAAAATAAGTTTCTTACCAGGTAACTGAAAGGAAAGCTTTCCTAACCTCTCGAGATCCCATACAATTCCTCTACCATCTGCCTTAGAATTTCCTTGTCTATTACTTCCTTCAAGATTTTGGCTATTAGATGCTGATGACATGTCAGTGTCTGACGAGTCAAGGATAGCCATGCTGCCCCCACCACAAGCCTGATTAGGCACGAAGCGTAAGAGATATGCATCCTGGAAAAGGCCTTTATACCCTCTACCAAGAATGTACATGAAACCAATGCAGCCTGACGTGAGCATCTCCTCAAAAAGATAACATGACCGTATTTTCCATGTCAAATTGCTAACCCTGGCACATGTAGCTGGAGTTCCAATAGTTACTTGCAAAGATTTTCCGACAGGTGAAGGAGAATACCCCAATTTACCCATGTGCCTTAGTATTCCATCAATATAAACATATGCAACACTGGCCTGGAAGAGTCCAGCAAGAGCATTTGGCTTACTATGGACAACAGCAAGGTGATGCCACTTGCCGTCCTCTTTTTCTAATCCAGAAAATGACAAAGAATTTGAATTGCTGGTGGCAAGGGTCAGAATACCATCCTCTTGAAAATAAAGTTCAGCATAGATTGGACTTTCATTACCTACGGCACCAACAGAAAATATTCGGAAAACATTTTGTCCACTTTGTTGCCCATTCAAAATGGGCCTCTCTGATGAACCACCAGCTTTATGGACTTCTGTTTCTTTTCCTTGGGTTGTCAGAAAATTACGGAACTGGAACCAACAAACAAATGAATAACCAGCAGCAGGAGGCCAAGATCTTTCTCCCAGGGACACCCGAACAGAAGCATGCCCAGTTTTACTCATGTCCATCTCTACAAAGGGAGCCATGGAAACATGTTCCAAGTCTGTGTCTTCCATGTGAAATATCTTTTCCATCATACCAACTATTGCGTGGCCTGAATTCACAACCCTCATCTGCAAAACATATCTACACAGCATTTGGAGCTCAGATGGGGACAATCTGCACCAGAATAAGACCGTAGTTTCAGTAAGATCAGCCTAGAAACAAAAGTAATCACTCTAAGACTATGCATTAGCTTTTTTAGCTATGCTGAACTACCTGTACGCCCCAAGAACTTCAACAACCTTTAAAGCATGAGAAAGAAATGGAGATGAACCCGGAAGAAAAGAGTGGATAATCTCCAACAGAAGTTCCACGCAACCTGCTCCATTATAATTCATTAAGCGATAAGATTTAAAAGCTGATTTTATCCAATAATAAGGAGACCCTAAGACAAAATTCTTACCAGCTGACGTGAGGTTTTCCTGGTTGAATGAGTTGGCATGTGCAAGCCTTTCTAGAAGGTTCAGAAATTCCAACTGCGTTTTTGGAGTAAAAAGCAACAGTGAACGGATCAGAACTCTGACAGCACCTGCATTATAGATCCTCTCCTTGTCAGGATTAAATTTGCCAGACGGGGTTTTTACAAGAAAGCTTGCTTTTTCACTTTCTATCATATCAGCTGAGACCATAGCTTCTGATGTCAAAAACGGTGGAACCAAAACTTCAAGTGCAAGTTCTAGCAACAGTTGTATCACCTGTCTTTCCAGATCAACACACAGCAAACCAGACTCCACCAGAAGATCATAAAATGTCTGAGATGTAATGACACTGTGCAGTTTCATTCTATTAACAGCATTCCCACAGACAACAGCTGTCATGAGGCGCAATAGATGTTTAAACAATTTGATGTAAACCATAAAATGAGACTCGTCCCTGCACTCTCCTTCCGCTTGGAAAGTATGAAGGGTGGTCAACAGAAGAGAAAAACCAGTGGCTTCACCGAAGACTCTTTGGGCAGAGCCATTAACCCCAAAAATACGCCAGAGAACACCCATGATATCACATCTGGCTTCGTAATGAAGCTTGTTTTGGTGCCCAGATATTCCAGTGACCATTCCACTCTTCAACATATCGACAACAGTTTCTAATTCTTCATGATGGACCTGGTTGGATGGTAAGATAGAGTCAACCACTACAAAAACTAAAGGATTTCTGACACCTTTGGTACTGAAACCCCAATAGTAGCAACATAAACTAAAGAATAAAATGCCTTGCCAAGCTAATAGACTTTGACGCAGTTGATCAGAGAAACAAGAAGACACACTGTAAAATAGAAATACCCGAGATACATATTTCTTGGATGAAGACTAACCTGTTCAGTGTCTTCCGTGATTAAACATGACAAAATCCTCAAAACGCCTTTACGATGGTCATCAGAGACCAAGAAAGGAAGAATAACGGCCACGCCATTGGCAGAACGAAAAGCTGCCTGATTAGCTTCAGCTTTCTTTAGCAAAGAGATCATACAACCCCAACCAACAGTTATAGTGCTTTCAACTTCAAATATAGGGAACCTTCCTGAACCAGATTCCATCCGCTTTGGTGATGAAATGATGGCATCCTTACTATCTAGGTGTTGTTTGAAGCGAGGTGAGCTAGGTACCCGATGCAAAAGATTAGAAACTCCACTATAGTGATCTGAGCCCATGAGAAGCTTGTGCTGCTTTAGATCATCTTGTAAGACTTCCAAAACACCAACTTCACCTAGGACTTTCTTGTACTGTAGATCAAAGGATGTGAGCTTTACAAAGAAAGAAAGTATGGTATGCTTCAACTGAGAATTGATTGGCTGCTGCAACAAGAAACAAAGTGACAACAGTTCTTGCTCTGGAACACAGTTTACAACTGTGACAGCATATTCAAGAATTTTGAGGATTTTCTCTTGCAGTGAGGAAGGAAAATCATCCATATTCAGCAAGAGAAGTGGAACAGTCCTTAATTCTTGGCACATTCTATAGTTTTCGATATGGCTCGAGAATATCTTGAAAATTCGGTTTAACACTTCAGCCTGAAGATCCTTGTTCTCTGCTTTCAGAAAGATGTCTTGCAGCATTTGGACAGCTTCAAGGTCTTTAACTTTACCATTTCCCTGTTCCCATGTCTCATCATACAGCCTGTTAACAGACGGTGTTTGACTTCTGCTATACCCAGTGGACTTCGATCGGGACAACAGTGAGGTAGTTGCTCCAGATGACTCAACGGGACCAGTCTGAGCCAAGGTGACAAGAACATCAAGCAATCTTGAGAGTGAAGGGGAAAGCTGTTTTTCAGAGTCATCTGAACCACCATTTTGGTGTGAAGATGAATGATTGGACGGAAAAACCATATTTTTTTGCATGGAAGACAGAACCAGGGAAAAGTGTACAAGAAAATGGTAACCATGTGCATTTCGTATGTCCTCCTTGAGCCTCACACCACCAGCTTCTACAAATTCAAAATTGAAAAGTTAGCAACCATAATCAGAGCGGTTTACAAATCCAAAAGAATAAGGTGACTGATGAATGTTTCTCCTCTTCAGCTACATTTCCACAGGCATTGCTAAATTACCAGGTCTGTACGATAGATCCACACATTCAAGTAACAAATCCACAATCCCCATTGTATAGTCCGAGTCCCCACAAACCGGATCAAAATCTTTTACAGCCATTAGTAGAACCTTTATCTGCAGGAGAACCAAGCAAAAAAATAGTTCTGAAGACGTACGGACAGAGCAAGCAGTCAGACCACTAACTTGTGCCAAAAATTAAACAAGAAATCGAAGTTCAAATCTAGTAGAAAGAAATAATAGGTGCGTACTTCTTGCATACTGAACAGAATGCAAATAGTTGTACTTAGTTACAAGGTCACAGACTGAATAGAATGCAAATAGTTGTTGTACTTAGTTACAAGATCTGTCTGTGATATTTTTTCTAGTGATCTAGCTTTCTAACATAGATCTTAAGCTCACAAACAAAGGAGAAGTATTCTTACAAACGCCTTTATTTAAGAACATAAGTATTGTCAAATGGTTAAAAGATTACTATAAGCATCACAAAAGAAACCTTCGAACGCCAAATTGCAACTACCATATATGGTTATATAAGATTGTGACAAACAAAAGCATATGCACAAAACCAATACTGTACATATAATTAGTTTTAGTCTCATGCTCTCCTAGTAAAATTCACATAAGTCTCTTAATAACCAAATTCTTTCTCAGAGACCTCACACAGTTTCAACATAAGCACGAAATGATTGACCTATCAAAGTCACATCTTAAACACACACACACAAGAATCGATATACCACAATAAGGCTTTCTACAGAATCCACTGGCATACCAGATGGTGTTTGTGTATGTGGCTTGCCGTGCTCCCATTGTCATTGACAAGAAGAAGCCCCAGAATCTGAAAGAGACACGAAAGGGAATCACAAATGAAACTTTAAGCATCAGAACATTCCCTCAAGTTTCAGTGGTCATGCTACAAGAGCAGTTCCTAGCTTTTTCAGTTTCAAAACACATTGCTCGATTTGTAAAACAGGGGAACCACAAATTACCTGCATTGCATGTCTGTGAAGCTGTACGTTATGGAATGAAACTAGACCTTCTTTCTTTTGAGAGAAATCCACAACAGAACCATTGGCAACCATTTTGAAAAGCAACTGAAGGGAGTCATCTTCAATCAAACTCTGTGCAGCTGAAGGATGGCTTGCCAATGCTTTCATGATATGGACAATACTCCCCTCCACCTGCAAGAATGAGGATGCATTCAAGTTTCAACAGATAAGGCATTGCAGAGTCTGCATCTTGGCCAGCATGAAACAGTTATAATGTAGAAAAGCATGTCATAATTGACTAATTAACACCATTGAAACAAACCTCAAGTAGTCTAGCTAGGAGAGTACAATACATCTGCCATCTTTACCTTTTCTTCATAATTAACAGTTTTTTCACTTTCACTGGCTACATTATAGGTCAGAAGCGCATTGAGAGTGTGTATTAGACAGCATAATATCCCAGAATCCAGTAGAGATTGTTTGTCGATAGGCTGAAAATAAAACACATGAATCGTTGAGTATATAAGCCAACCAATAGAGTATACAATATCGTATAATCCATCAAAGAACCATCCCCCTGAAAGATTTTACCCAACCTCCAAAATCATGTGAAAGTACCAGTAAGCTATCATATGTTAAAAACTCAATAGTGTAAATAGACTAAACTTATAATTGAGGAGAAAACTGGAAGAGTAAAAGTCAAAAAGGTACCCCAGATGCAAGAACTTCAACAGCGGTTAAAAGGTTTTCACCGTGACTAAAACCCTCCTGCATGAAGGAAAATATATCATGGATTAACATAAATTTAGTCTATGTTGAAGTTCACTGTAACATCTCCTTGTTCGCTGTACTCAGAAGGAAAGGCAAACCTTGGTGACTTCAGAAAAGAACTTTATTACATTTTCTACATCCAGTGACCTCGTCTTGCTGCTAATCTTTAACTTTTCAATATCTGTAACAAATGCTCTCCCAATGACGAAAGTGAATATATGTGTTTCTACTAACCTGTAATTGAAATAAAGTTCTCAACATAGGTGAAATTCTCATATCTGATATCTGAGACGCTATAAAAGTACAGAAGAATCTAATGGAGAAGAACATTCAAGTTAGGAAACGTAAGATTCCTTAATAAAAGCTTCAGTCATGTGAAAACTCAGAGACATTTATCACCTAGTGGACAGCAAATTTTCTCTTGGAGAAGAATAAAACTAGCTGAATAGGGATCCAGACAACTAAAAATAAAGAGAGTTAGAAACAGCTTACATTGTAAGTAACTGATCTACATTAGCATGGAGTTTCACTAGTCTACAAAACGTATTCACACTTAGATCCAAGGCGGCTTCTTTATCCTGCATGTGACATATATGAATGATTAACCATAGCGATTTGCTAGTTGCTTTATCCGAAAACAATAAGTAATTGCACAGAACATAAAGGTAAACATCTACAAAACAAATGATAAAAGCATACATGAGTGTGAAGAATCATACACAAACCTTTTCAGAGATTGATGAACGGAACTCTTCCCAGTAACTCTTGAAGTCCAGTTCCAGCTCATGTCTAGCTCGGCTTTTAAAGGAGCAAGGAAAGAATCATTGATTGCTTATGCCAACATTAAGAGTAACCAAAGAGGAATTTCTGAAAAGTAATAAACCTTGTAGGAGATAATAAATTGAAGTCGACTTCAGCAGAGACGGCATAACTAGAGGACGGTGAAGCTGAGGAGGAGGAAGGCGGAGAAGTAAGGTCACTAACGACATCGCCGACGATTAACTCGGCGTTAGCTTCAGCTATTCCGACCTTCCCTTTTATATCCTTAAGCAATGTTCCCCAATTCATCGTTTCCCCAACACTCCTGACTCAGTCCGGTACGACCCAGATCCCAATTTCCGATCAAAAATCAACAAATCAAAAATGTTCCTTCCGATTCTTCGATCAATCAATAACAAATCGGAAGTAATAAAGACTAAAAACAACCCAGACATCAAAACTCTGATAAACTGATGCAATGTACAACGATTAGGCTTTCGCTTGAACAAAAATCTGAGATCCCAAAATTCCGATTAACGATTCAACACACCCAAACAACACTTCCCTTCCTCCTTGATAATCTGAGAAGGATTCGGAAACGGATTTTGACAAGAGAACGCAGAAAATGGAGATTTATTGAGCGATTAACGAAGAACAAAACTATTTCATTGATCGATTAACGAAAGAAAAAATATCGATTTCGCTCCTATTTTCACCCTCTCTTCGTATGC